TCCAGGAAGGGAGAAAGAAATGAATCTTGCAAACAGGAAAACTAAAAATGCAAAAAAAATAAAAAATCCCCTCACATGTTCTGAAATATTTTGCTTTGAGAGCTGTCAGGAAGAGTTCAGTTCAGAAGTTCACTCCCTGAAACCTTCCCTAGGGCTGAGGAATCAATAGGAAATGCAGGCTGTAGAACAATGGGCCTCATCAGGTATTTGCTCGACAAGTATGAGAAAAATAGTTGTTACTGACGAGAGACGAGCACTGTGTAAAATGCCACGTCAAACCCTCCTAGGGAACTTTTTCTCTCTCATACATGTGGAGTTCTGCCTCTTGTTAAAGGCACTTTTATTTGAGCTACACAAGCCAAAAAGACTCACTTGAATGATTATGAGCACATAGTATGTGCATTTTATGGGCAGTTACAGAAAGCAACATACTTCAGACTGCAGGTATTTCAAACGGCTCAGGGTTTAAAGTATTTTGCAGTCTGTTATAGTCTCGTTTTTTTTTTTTTTTAATCAAGCCTACCAGCTGCACATGTAAGAAATGGCTCTGAGCCTGCAGTACGTTTTCCTTCTCACAGTAAAAAACCATGGCCTCTGTCAAAGTGTGTCCTTGAGTGTCAGACAAACTGCTCTTGACCATCTACTGTTGAGGTGCAGTCATTGTCCGTGTGTCTTTTCTCAAAGCGCCACATGTGTGGAATTGGTTTACATTCCCTTATCGTTCGGAGAACACAGACATATATTAGTTGAAGCTTGTATTTCCATTACATTCACAGAAAACAAACCATCTTCAGAGCAGAGGAAGACCCCCCCCCCCCAGCCTGCACGGCTTCATCCTGCCGCATTTCGGTGGCTGGCTGGAACATCTGTTTCTGCTGCTCTAAAAACTGTTTGTTTGTCTTAACAATTATGCCCTTATGTTTCTCATTTCATTTCTCAAATCTCTTGAAAGTCATTACCCAGTTTCAGGTCTTTCAAGGTTCTGAATTTTTAGAAACTCAACACGACCATCTGTTGAAAGCCGGCGTATACATCGGGCTACAGTCAGCTCACCTTTGACATTTCAAAAGAGCTGTACCAGAGGAAGCAGGGGGCCGCCACCGAGAGACATGTTATGCAGTTAAATAATGACTGTGAGCGTAGAGCAAATAAGAACTGCTACTAATGACAGCTCCATGTAAACACAAGGGACACTTCCACTTTCAGCTTCTGCATTTGCCTTTGTGGCTTCGATCTACCCAGTTCCACTCACAGCAAGAATAAATCTAGGGAGGGAAACTGAAGGAGAAAGTAAAGTCTTTTTGTTCACACTGCAGCTGCAGGGCGGACTCACCAAGCCAGCAGTCACAAGAACTCAAACTCTTTCTCTGACCTGCCCATCTTTCCTGTCGACCTCCTGTTCATGGCTGCTGGGTGCTGTCAATCAGCACGATCCCCACCCCCACCCTCACCCCAGCTCCTTGAACATGGGGGCTCTTTGGCATGCTGCCCAATCCTAACGGGCTCTGAGCTCGCGGGCTGTCCTTGACAAATGGGAGCTGAAGCTCACAGAGTAAAGGCCGGCCTTAGAAAAATGAAAAGTCTGTTGTATGAATCGATCCCTGAGCAATGAGCAAAAGGAGGGCTATGTGTCAAAGAACTCAAAACAAGCCAGGTTTTAGTTTGGGAGCAGCTGCTCGGAGGGTCAAACGTCAGCCATACAACAGTTCACTAAACTTCGAAATGGTTTAGGTATCTGAGATTTAGAAAACAAGTAAGACTTGATTCCAGTGGTTAAAATATTGTGAGGAGCAAAACTAAGGTGGTTGCACAGATTCTTCTCCTGCTTTGTGATGTTTTCCTCAGCCAAAGGTTGATCTTTTGGAGCAGCAATATGAGAGATTACAGCGCAAAACCAAATAAGCAACCAAACCACACTGTGATTTAAGTTCACTTAAATTCGCTTAAGACCAGAGCTGAGGTTTGCTGCCTGGCCAAGAAAGCATGAGAATGTGGGAGGTGCCCAAAATATACTTCAGACACACCCTCTCCTGCCACACTTACCTCAAACAGACATTCATACATAAGGCAGGGATTCGTGTAACATCTTAATATGACAATTTGACACTTTCTTTGAGCCCAGGGAGACATCTGTCAACTGTTTGTCCTAACAAACTGTCCAACACCCAAATAGGAAATAATACATGCAAGATGAGATGAAAATATACTTAAATTATAACATTTCTTGTCAACTTTGATGTGAGTAAACCGCTGATTAACTAATCAGATTCCACCTTACTCCCTGATTTTACCTTTAAAGAAACCTCCCTGTTACTATGGAAACCCAAGCATAATCAGCTACTATTCATTTGTCACTGTTGATTAGAATACTCCATCAGAAAAAAAAAAATCAAAAGAGCCATTATGAGAGCAGGGGCTGGTATCATTACCCATGCTTACATTCAAATTGCCCACTTAACATAGTTCTCCTACAGCAACATGTGTTTATCATTAGCAGCACTATAATGGCTCGAACATTATTCAGACTCGCTTAATGGTGAAGTTGTGCTTTTTCTGATAAGAGCTGGGCCACTAATGGTTTATTAACGTCCCTATAAGTCACAAAGCCATGCTGTGAAAACCAAAAATAATAAGTCTTCAGAGGCTCTGTCGCTGTCTGAGTCAATCACATTCCCTATAAGAAGTTATTGTGTGGAAAATCCCACATATTAACAACATGGTCAGTCATAGTCATAAACATGCCTCACGGGCCACTCTGTTCACCTTCAAATCAAGCCATTATTGTAATGTAGCTTGGATTTCTGGGTCTATTTTGTCGTTCATTTTAATTTTTTTTGACAACTGACAGCAACAGCATCCTTGTGCCTCTTAAAACATTTCAGTAGCACCATACTTGGGTGTCAGTCATTCAGAATAAAAGAGTAAGAGCTTTGTTCTGCAGGCCCGGTAGTGTTAAAGAGGCAGAAAGAGCGTTTTGTCCACGGACTGACCAGAATGCAACGCTGCCACAGGGCACACTGTAGTTAGGGTGAGAGACAGAGGCATTAAAGGAAATCGAGGCGTGAATTAAGCTGAAATGAGCTACGTTGAAGGAAAGTGGCCACAAAAAATAAATTACAACAGTTTACTAAAGAAAAACTCCAAAAACACACTCTGTATGAAAACGAGGGAGGATTTCTCTTTTAAAGTGAACGAGTGTCGGAGTCTAAACACAAAGAGCAAATCTCTCTGCTCCTGTCAAAAGGACAGGAGCGCTGAAAGGATTTGAAAGCCATCGGAAGTGTCTTCTTGTTCCCCACCAACGCAACAATGCACGAGCAACTGTTTGAACTTGAAAGTGTTTTATTTGAAAGCAGCCATGTGTGTCCCACTGACTGGATGTCATGCATTCGAGAGGGATTCAGGACTTTGTTCTTGATAACTTTTAAGTGCTCAGTTTTCTGAGAGTTAAGCCTCAAAAGTCCTGGAGACATTCTGATGATAGGGATAAACAGCAGAAGGAGGAAATTACCTCGTCATTCATTTGTAATCAATCAGAAACGACTGCTCTAAAAGTCCGGATTCCTCCAACAGTTTCACCAGAACCATCACTAAAAAAAAAACCTACAAGTGTCAACCTCAAAGTTCCTAAAGTGCAGCTGTGCAGATCACAACACAGCACAACTCGAGTACAATAAGCTCCTGTGTACACGTGCACACTAATGCCCAGTGGAGTAAGAGTTTAATTTTGTTATTTTGTGGATGTTTATGACACGGAGAGGAAGAACAGACACTGAAGGAAAACTACACACAACATTCCTGATGAACTTTATCAGACGTTTACACATGCGCGTCATTTTTCTTTACAGGGTTTTAAAGACTCCCCTTTACCGCTAGTGTTTCTACTTCATCCAAAATCTGAATTCCATTAAAAGCACCTTCCAATCAGTAAACAATTACACATTCATAGAAACAGGCAGATTGGCTTTTTGTTTTTTGGTTTGTTTTCCACAGTAATTTGTGCACTTGCCAAATTTTAGAGTGATTATCATGGATTTACCAAGGCGACATTTATGACACCCTCCGGAGGTGTTATCTAAAACAATAAAGGCTCTGTCTTTGGAGAGAGACAGAAGAAAACTTCAAATATTAGCCTAAGCCACCATGTTTCTGCACTGTGGAAGTATTTTTATACATCTTAAAACAACACAGCCTTTACAAATCCCTAGTCCAGGTTCACCTTTTATGACTGTGACATCAGTGTGTCAGTGAAAGGACATTTATAAAAATGTTCTTTCAGGTTTCTGGGTAGAAATGCAGCCTGCAGGCATCTGTTTTCAACTGGCTGCCAGGGCTGTTTACCAAACAAATATTTAGGCCTGTGCTTGTGTTTCCAATAGAGCTGAGCTGTGTCAGAACGCACACACATGACAGGTTACTGCCACTCATCTGGAGGCTTTATGCTGTGTTTTAGCACAAAGTCATATGTGGGAGGATTTCCCTTTTCTGCAAACTATAGTCAAAGATGTAACTGGAAGTCGAAAAAAATCCAAAATATAGTGCATCACACACACTTTATACAAACTAATGTACAATTGATTTTCAGTAACAGAGCCTTATCATGGTAATGAGGTCAAATGGACGAATATAACGCACAGGCACAAGATTATTATTTAGTCAGGGTAGGGTTTGTAACATGCATGCAACTGTAGATTTAGTTAATTCAAGCATGCACGCCCACACGTAGAGCCTCACATTAATTGCCGTACACAGGCGCCCCCCGTTTACCAGGCCACCGCTCCGCGCCGCTGGTCTCCACTTTCACCACAGTGCAAAGTCAAGAAAACACGGCAATGTTTGGGAAACCGAAGAAGCTGACAGTGACTCTGTCTTCTTCGTTTAACGCCACCTTTTCTTTTATTTCCAGAGACGCCTAACTGGCCTGGTGCACACACCGAAACCTCCCCAGAGCCCTCTCCAGCCGGCCCGGGACTCCCCCTCTGCCTCCCCTCCGTCCTTACCTCTCTTGCAGGAGGGCAAAAGCTGCGAGCCGTCGGCTGAATCAGCAGCAAAGCGCATTCTCCTGGTAACAAATCCGTACGGGGCCCTCCATTAGACACGGGCTGAAAGTATGCGACGACAGAAGGAACATGGAAACAACCGAAGGTGAAGGAGAGAAGATCGTTTTCAGACCCGCAGCGCAGCGCAGGCTTCGGGTTAAGGTGCGACACCTCCCCTGATCTAAACTCGAGCTGAGGTGGTGAAGAGTTTTCTCCTGTTAAGTTCGGAGTCCGTGCGTTTCAATAAAGGGGTTACGTCCCGGTTTGGTGCGCTCACGCACTCGTTCTGTGTTTCCCAACCCGTTACTGTAACGTCTCCGTCTCTAGTACCGCAGCTTCTTCCACACACGCATCTTTGAAGCCAGTGTCGAATTGCTCAGCAAATCATGGCAGCGGCGAGGCCGGTCGTCAAACCAGGAATGTCCCAGCCCCACAGCTCAGTGCGGCTCCTGGAGAGGGGAGGGAGACGGAGAGGAGGGGGTGTTGCCCATATAGGTTGTGCATTAACAAGTTTTACAATCTTAGGAGAAAAAACGCCTCCTCCTTCCTGCGCACGTTTACTGCTCTGTGTAACTTACTGCATTAAGGATGTAAAGGTAAACTCACCTGGAGACATTCAGGGGGTATAAGTCAGTGATAATGATTTTTTGATTAACCTCTTTCTATTTTAAATATCTACAAAATACACTGAATCAAGATATGCTGTGAAAACAAGCACACTTATTTACTTAGAATCAAGACAACAGGCAAAATAACAACATTTTTAAAACCCAATATCCATTGGTGAAAAGTAAACAACAAACAAATAAATAACTACTGAATTGTTTCCTCATTTCAGCTGTGCAGGTGAAATGAGGTCAGCAAGGCAGGTGATATAATAACTAACATCGGTTTGAAACAAGGACAAACGATTCATGTCACGATTAATATCAGTAAAGAAATGAAATTGTTACTGTAAAGATGAACATTTTAATAAAATCATGCTTTTACTTTGCACTACATGCATGAATTAAGCATGCACATATTAGTACTTTTTCAAGAATTTCTAACAATGTAGATATATTTTGTTACTGTACATCAGCTGGAGGCCTTTTGTTAAAGTAGTCACACAATATGCTGTTTCTACTGGAAGCTTCATTAGCAGTGAAAACATCTTCCCCTGTTTAGGATAACCACTGCACACAGCCTCAATCCTGACAGTACCTCAAAACCATAAAAGCAGTAAAGTTCCTTGCAGATTAGACCAGCTGTCACTGGGCTCATTGAAATGAATTAAAGTTCTGTGGGAGGGGGATGTTTGAACAGCTAATAGTTATGGGTCATTTCTGGCATCAGAGCTGTTGGTTGGCTGCAGCCGTTTCCTGATTGCTAGGTGAAACGCCTTCACAGAGGGTGGGGGAGGAGAGAGAGAGCCGTGGGTGTGAAACAGTCGTCTGTTGTGCATATGGGCATGAGGTAAACAGCCTAATCATGTTTGAGACTGTAATTATGTGCTCCTGCGTTGGCCCGGCGGTAGCAGTGCCGGGCCCACCCTGCTTCAGGCGGCAGGTGCAGCTCACTGTCTGACAGCTGACTCCTATGGAAGGTGTGATCCAACCCTCCCGAGGCGGATTCGACCAAGTGAGGGCTTCAGGCAGTCAGGGCCAAAGCCAACAGACCAGCAAACCTCTGAGAAGATAAACAACACGGAGGAGGTGGTGGAGGCAGGGCCGATGAAGGACGGATGGCTCTACTACTACTGTGTTGTGGCTTTGTAAATCAAGCCTTCCTAAGTTTTCAAGAATCTCTTTTACAGGTACAAACTGAACTAGCTCTTTAAAGCAGGAAGAAGCATGTAATGGACAGTTTCATGTAGTGGCCTCAGAGAATTCAGAAAGAAAATCAGGTCATTGTGAACTTAGAAACGTTTATTGCCTGCTCTTTGGCACATCACTGCCACCAGCCTTCACAGGAGGACTTTTATTTTCAGGTTTGTATAGCCCAATATCACAAATTCTTATTGTGATCAGTTTATTTAATATTAGTATCACTAGTATTCTATACTGTAGCTTGCTGTGGACAACACAAACTACAGATGAGATGATTATTATGGTGGAAGAAGCTTATTAATATTACATATTATGTTTTACTGATGATAAAATATTAGTCTCTCTCAGGGTCAGGAGCTGGCTGGAGATGGAGGATCTGGGTTCACTGGGGGGTGAGCGGGGTGATTGGACACAGTCGCATGTGAAAGGCCAGAGAGTGGCGAGTCCACAGGGAGCACGGTCCACACACAAAGGGCCAGGGAGGGGCTCAGTGGGGGCGGGAGAGGCGACTGAGGAGGAGAGGCCGCGCTGGGAACCAAAGCTGACAGCGCCGACACTTCTCATCCACTGAGGGTTCGGCTGTCTCTGGCCCCCTGGGGAATATACTTACACAGTTCAGAGAGCTGCTCACTGAGAGCAGAAGCAACAGAAACAATAAAAACACAAAGCACTAATGACCTCTGGCCCACATTTAACTGATATGAGTCTTGTTTCCTTAGTCATATCAGCCCTGATCAAATCAGTAGATTAAAACACATTCAGTCAGTACAACTTTACTTGGTGATGATCATGCAGAGGCTGCAAAACACTGGTAATTTACAGTTTAAACATTAAAACACAGTGTTTCTTCCTGTGACACCCTGATTGGGCTTAAATTGGCAGGAGACCTGCTAACAAGGGCTTTGTGTTCTGAAGCGAGCTGGCACATCCAGCTCCCTCTGTTTTGCTGTGAGGATCAAAAGCCTCCATCGCTGTCATGTGTTGATGTGTTTATGACCTGCAAAGTGGTGCTGGCTGTGTGGACTCTGGCGGCAGGGGCCTGAGGGATGCTTCCAGTGCTATTAAAAGGCACTTTCAGCACTCATATGACTGTCCAGAGAATCAGGCGTGGATATTGTCCGGTGTTGCTCTTTCACACATGTGGCCTGACATATCACCTACTGGTTGGTTTATGCAAGAGGGTGGCACCTGGGTAGTGTGCAGGAGGTGGGACATGATGCAGATGTATGCTGTCACATTGCTGGTTTTTAATTTTGTCATAAACAACCACGTCTCTTGTCATTCTTTGAATTTGTCTGCCAATTGTGGCATTGGCCCTTAATGATAGAACTTCTTAAATCTTGTCATCTTTCTTGTTTTCCTTGGCATCTTCCTGTAAGTGACCCTTGTTGCATGAAGACTGGTGACTGACCTGAGATGCCCTTTCCTCTGGTTCTTCATCTGAAGCACTCAATCACCAAAGGATTTGTTGGTCCAAAAAAGCCCTCCCCAAAGGATGGTCTCTTGTATCCTCCTCACTCCTGGATCTTCGCACCTCGGAGCAGGAATAAGGGCAGAGACACGCCGAGCTGAAGTGAAAGAACTAGCAACGATGTAGGCTGACTGTTGCATTGCCTTATGCCGCCTTTGTCTGGGCCAGATGAGTTGAAAAAGTGGCATTTGAACACACCGCACAGAGTACTAAGCTGAACAGTCAATCAGACTCTTTCATGATGAGACCCGACCGGCCCTACACCGATTCAACAGGCCGAATCTGCTGAAGAGCCACTGACAGGGTCTGACTAATGCCAACAGTGCGGGACACACCAAGAGGATGAGCCATGGCAGACACTCGCCAACAGCCCAATGTTCAACCACGTGTCATGGCCTTAAGAGCTTATGGACATTTTTCAAGATGGGGATCAGAACTCATTCCGGGTCAGCCAAGGATCAAAGAGTGAGGAATGATAAAATAAGGCAATTGGGATTTAGCCCTGCTCTGTTCACACATGGGCTCACTCAGACATTACATGGATGTTGTACCAGGGAGCTGGCAGGTTAAGATCTGTGTAATGTCCAGGCCATTCAGACATTTCTGTTCTGTACATACAGCTCCTCTGGGTCCAGGTAAGTTCAGGGCTGCAGTGCTTTATCAGATAACAGGAGAACCTTCCCTCTGATTGTCAGCAGGACAAAATAACACAGTTTAATCGTAAGCCTTCATATCCGACACCCAATGTTACATCATTTACTTGAAAGCAGATGTTTGTAAATGTTAAATGCCACGAAACAGCACCTGTTGCCTTTTTATAGGGTTTGTAGTCACGGAGAGGGACAATTACAACAATATATGCAAACTTTTTTCTTAAGGAGCTAAGACAGGCACATTTATGTCCAACATTTTATATGCTTTTATAAGACCGGGAAAACTTTGCACAGGCAAAAAAATATCTATGAGAGTGAGAAAAATCACAGCGTTCTACAACATAGACAAAATGGATTTCCCCTCAGAGGGCTGTATATCTCATGAATTAGACTGTGTGTGTGTGTGTGTGTGTGTAGTCTATGCTGTGTATATGCTGTGTCTTTCTGTAGGTTCAGGAATGCAGCTGCAGTTGTGTGTTTGTGTGTGTGTGTTGTACGGATGTGTACAAGAAAGAGAGAAAGAGGAATCTGAAGGCACCCCTCTCCATCTGGTTTCTGCATCACTGTGTGGGATCACATTATCCATCGCAGACTCTCTGGGAATTTCATCAGTCTGTAACATCTCACTTATTCACACATCACTCCCTGAGTTTTACCATGTAGAACAACACTGAGCGTCCCTCCTGACACCGCAGTGACCCTGCACATCCTCTAACCATCTAATAGCTTTCCCTCATCTGATACTGGGCCTCAGAGAACTGTACGGGGCAGAAAACTGTCCAACCTCCAGTTGTTACACTGTCATTGTTACCTACAGATCTAAAAATATACAGCTACTGTTTTGCTAACAAGGATGAAACTTTAACAAACAGGCGAAGACCAAGGTCAAACATGAGGGAGGTTGTTTTTGCGGTTACTGGTGGCCTCAAAACATTTTTATGTGTCACAAAGTACAAAGTCATGTGTTCTTTCTAGATTTCAGTTCTGTTGTCATATTTAATGAATAATGGGCAATAAAAAGAAACAAACTGCAAAGTTCAGGAATATTATTTTTATATAAAGGTCAAGGCAGATGACCGCCCACCAACAGCTCGGGTCTGTTGGAGGTTTCTTCCGTTAAAGGGAGTTTTTGCCTCACCAAGGTTACCAATTGCTTGCTCAGCGGGATTTGTCAGGGTTGTCTCTGCTAGACTTCACTGTGTAAAGTACCCAGAGATATTTTTGTTGTGATTAGGTGCTATTCAAATACAATTGAATTGAACTGAATTATAAAAAGAAATAAAAGTAGGATTTGCAACCTTTATTTGACTGTCCTGGCATTTTTTGGCACCGTTTTGGGCAGCAAATGATAAAATGGTGAAATAATTTCACATGTACACAAGTTCCAGCTGAGTGCATGCCAAATGATGCTAAAGCAGGGATATATTGAATTAATGATTAACTACAATTCTGGTGCATTTTTACCTGTTGCTCATTGTTCAAGCCTTAGATTGGGTGTTACTATATCTTTACACTTCCACTACTTATGAAAACATATATTTTTTGC